TTCACTAAACGATGGTTTCCATCATGGTAAATGCTTTCAGGGAAAACGCTGGCGAGTGTTTGCGTGCGCGGTACATTATTTTCCCCCATTTTTGGTTCCTAAACGGAAACAAGCGATAATAAAATTTTTACAACAACAAATGAACAGCGTCGCAGTTGCCGCATAAAAATTCAGACGATGTCGCACCCGGCAACGCATGTACGTAAAAGCAAAAGCAACAGCAGAAATAGAAAAGCAGAAGCAAAACGCAAGAAGCGAAGCACCAGCACAAGCAAAGCAAATCAGAGGCAGCAGGGCGTGTTACAAGGGAATCGTAAAATCAGAGCACCCAAAATATGCTGCCAAAGTGTCGTATCAGCAAACATGAGGTGATCACAAGCTTTATGGTACTTTCTTATAACGAGGCTGTCTAATGCGTACATATTACCTTTACATTCGCAAATCTTCTTTGAAAATTTTCCAGTTCGGGTAGCAAATATGCAAACAACAAAAAAACAATATATAGGAATATAGAAAAAGAAATGAAATGATATGATTTACTTACTACAAATTCATTCTTTTTAATAATTGTCCACAAAATTATGTTTTAATACATTTCTCTCTTCTTTTCTAGAAACAGAAAAAGCACAAGAAATCCAAGCATTTTTCAATATCTCGCACCAAAGCCATTTAAAAATTTTAAATATTTTGGTAGATGAAAAATCCCATTTCACGGCTGCGATTGCGTTGTTCATGGATTTACGAAACAAACATGTGTGAGTGGGTGGCTGGGGGGCCGAACAAAAGACCAGAACCATCAAATAGGGCCAATGCAATCGCAACAGAATCGCCTCAGTACATTTCAATTGCGCATCACTCGCTCAAGTGGACTATTACCAAAGTAAGCATTGCAACGCAGTACGTTTTTAGAAATCAATCAGGTCAAGATTTCTTCTACTTCGAACCCTCTTGAAATTAAGATTGTAATTGTTGTAATCTGACTACCATGTAGCTGATTAACTCATATTTCTCTAGCAGTTATGGTTCCGTAGATCCTACAGTCAAGATATTATATGCTGATACTTTATAAACTCTTTAAGGTACATGTTTCCCTCTTAGGGGTATGAGAATGCCCAACACCCCCAACTCCATACAGCGATAAATAAAAGAGACCCAAGTCAATATATGTCTGTATGTATGTACATACATGTGTAATTAATGGGCCTGCTATGATCGGAAAACTGGTCCAGTGTCTTTTTCTTGCTTGGAATCTATAAAATCAATCACAGAATTTCCACGAATTGCCTCGTGAGTCACTCTTTTCCAAATGCAGCTCTCTTTTTGGTTCCATTCTCCCGACAAATCGGCGAGAGATCTGCAATTACAATCTGTGTTGTGTGCGTGCGTGCCAGTGGCGTATGCAGAAAATCGTAGGGGGGTTCTGTTTCACTCTTTACATTGTTTGCTTCCCATTTGCATTTTAATGAAAAGTTTTATTGCATACTAGACTTCTAATAGCCAAAAGTTAAGTGCTTTGGGGCTCCCTTTGCGTAAGCCACTGTTTTCCGCGTGTGATGGTGTAAAAGGGGTAATGGGGTAAACGGGGTAACAGCGGTAAATGCGTGAGTGTGTGTAATGTAATTAAAAAGAGTTGAGCAAATATTTGACGAACGTGCAGAGGCAATTCGGCGAACGAGCAGGAAGGAGTCGGCGAGAATAGAGACTGGCCAAGGAGTCGACAATGCGGGTGACTCTCTACGGGGTGGCGATGGCGGGGGAGGATGCGAAAGGGGAGGGAGTGGAATGACGCACATATGACTGAGCCAAAAACCGGCGAAAATTACAAGGGAGAGCAGTGGTGACCAGGGTTGCCACCCACGCTTGCGTTGCAAGTTCATTTTTAGGGGGCGCAACAAATGGAAAGCCACAGTAAACAATGGCAAGGTATACCCTGCTCTATACAAAATGGTGGAATTCCAACCCATATCAGTTTAGTTTAAAGGTGGGATTTGATGACTTCCTCAAATCATTGCATTTTCTAACTGGAAAATTTGTTTGTGTAACACTTATTTACAAGTATCCGTCAAGTGCGGCTGCAAATATTTGACAAAAATTGTGAACTACATTTCTTGCTAATATTTGATTTTCTACTTGCATCCAACACACTTTACTGTACTAACAGTGTTAATCTGCACATACAGTGGTGCTTTTCAAAGAGATATGCACTTGTGCCACCGTGAAATGAGGTTATCGGTAGTTGGAAAATGATAAAATATACTGATTCTAATGTCAATCGTTCTGGCTTTGCTCAAAGTCGTGGGATTATTTTTCTTTGCACCCTATCCCCCTTCCCGACCAATCACTTTCACCCTTCTGGCAATTAATAAAGGGCACTTTTAATTATTGCTTTATTTACCCCGCGCAATGGTGCTTCCTCTTCCTGCGATGTTTGTGTATGTAAAAGCGGCAATCAAAACACAATGGACCAGGCACTTTAAAGGAACTTAATAAGCGCAGCGCACAAGAGAAAAAAGTGAAAAAACAAAAGAAGGCGACGTATTTGGACCGAAACGTAACGCAAAGTCAAAAAAATAAAAATAAAATTGAATAATTGTGCACTTCGAATTCCGCGCGCGCTCTTTTACTTCCAATCACTCTCGCACTCGCATCCGCCGTTGATGTTCGTGTTCGTTTTCTGTTCGCCTTTCCAGCCTTCCCGTTCGTGCCATGCAGTTCCGTTACGTTCGCCTCGTGTCGTGTCGCGTCGCTCCGCTCTGCGATGTCACGTCTCCTGCGCGCGTCGGTCGAAACCCAAATGGCGCACTCGGCGACCGACGAGCGCCGAAACCGACAAGCTGAGAAACTACAAGCGCAGCAACTCGAACTCAAACACAACAGGCGCGAGCGAGAGAGCCGACGGCGCTGCCAACCGGACTGCAGATGCAGGCAAGTTGGCAGTACTGGACGTCGGATGCAAACGCGTACACGGTTAGAAATCGGGGATTGCAACGGTACTAGTGCTTCTCGCACTGCATGCTATTACAAATAATTTGTAAGACACATAATTGACCTAATTAATTCCTAAAATATATCAAAACCGAATATCTGGCCTGTATATGAAGCTTTCTTTTGTGACATACCCAGAAACCCTATGATAGATATTTTTGAAATACTTCGAATTTATTACTAAAGAAATGCAAAATTATTTAAACAAAAGGATTTACATGCTTATTAGATTGTTACTAATCGACTGAATTAAATTCAAGGTAATTTTTATCCCAAATCATTTCACTTTTGTACATATGTATGCATATTAGGTTCGGCTAACGTAAACCACAAGAAATTGAAATGCACTGAAAATAGTTTTCAACTATTATTAAAACGTTGTCCTATGAGTTTTGTATCCAACAAGCGCGTTTGAAACAATGCAAACTGTTCACTCAACCACACGCATACCTCTTATGCTGATGTGTAATATTATATTTGTTTTGGGAAATGAAAACTGTGCGTGTTGGCCAAGCAGAAATGGATGGGCAAACGCAGTTTTCAGAATTTGCTGACCTTTGGACGCAATTAGGCAAATTTGACACGCACCGGGAGGACGACAATTCCCGTGTCCTCGTCCTTGAGCTGCACGCAGTCACGTCGTGGCATCCTGACAATTCACTCTGAAATATACATAGATACCGAATGTGTGTGTGCAGTGTACAAAACACTGTTTGACAACAAACAGGGCTTGCACTCAAAGCATGGGACTGGAACTGATTATAAAGAAGATATAGAGAATATAAACCGAGGACCATCGATAACTATTATTTCAAACAAATGGACTCTAAAGGGATTCCAATTGTTAAACCATTTTTATTTATTATTTTTTTACTTTTGTTAATAGTAACCATTTTGAAGGTTTATGTTCCTTGTACCAAATTTATCTATGTAATACGCCTAAACTAAAAACATATATGTATATTGATACAATGCCAAGCGATATATGCATGCTCACATATTGTTTAAATATAGTTCACTTATAAACAAGATGTTGTTATTAGGTCTGATTATTATCTCGCCCAAATGGAGCTATTGGTTAAGCTGTTTGTTACCATCCTGATCCAGAAACTAATCGACCTTCTTTGTTGGGGTTGTGCCACAAACTGCTGGGGAGCGAAGTGGCAAAGGGGGCGGGGCGACGACCGCTGTTGCGGCAAAAACAAAGGGGCAGCAACAACTTCGCGGTTGTTGTTGCTGCATGGTATCGCACATCGTCTTTCGTCGGCAATCGGGTTTTCCTCCGCCGCCCGCGCATAAACAAATCGAGAACCTCAGAGGCGAACAACGAAAAACAGAACCACAGCGATCGGGAACTCTTTTAGCGTTTATGCACGGTGAAAGTAATGGGGCAAGAACGGAGAAAGAGGCGCAAGAGAGAGCGAAAAAGTTAGTACACCAATTAATGGGTCGGCATTCTGTTGGACTTGAAAGCGTTAAGCATTTGTTGTTGTTCTTGTTGTGCTTTTTGCCCCAGCAGATGGTCCAAAGATTAATCACTCCGCTCTCTGCCTTGCTTTTTTTTTTAATAATTCTCCATTCGAATGGCAGAAATGGAAAATTCGGAATTTCGTATTTCATCAAACTAAAGAAAATTATATCTTTGACACTAGTTGGGCAGTCACAACTTCGGATGGCCGAATACTAAAGTCTATTGATCTCTTCACACTGCATCACTATGTTATTTTCATAGCCAAGGAGTAAAATATGTTGAATACACTCGAAAAAATAGAGAAGATAGTTGATTTGGCTGCATAACAGCTTACAGTTACTAACCACAAGTGTCTTAAATAAGTCTAGTTTAAAGTTTTTGAATAGCATCTGAAGCAGCTATACTTTAAGAGTACACTTTAATTTCTTCCTGTGTACTCTGCCCTACGACTTCTATTTTTTGTGTGGGAGCGAATTATGAAGTACAGAGGAAATAGCTGAGCAACACAGACACACACATTTGGAGAAACTTGGGAGATACTTACATTTGTTATTGTTGCTGCTTCCTCGAGGTTGTGCTGTTGTTGCCGCTGCTGCTGGTGTTGTTGCTGTTGTTGTAGCTGTTGCTGGAGTAAATGCAGTTGTTGCTGTTGTAGTTGTTGTTGCTGATGTGTCGCAATACCACCACAATCCATAGTAAATACGGGTGCGAGGGGGCGGGGGTGAGTGTGTGTGGGAGTGGGAGTCGTCAATTGGGAGCGCACTCTCTCTCTCTCTTTAAATCTCGCTCTCTATTTCTGCTCCTTCGCCTTTGTGGCGCTCTGCTCTCCCTTTCCGAGTTGCGATCGCTTACTGCAGCGGAATGAAAAGCGAAACAGACATAATTGAAGAAATGCGATAGCGATCCGACTTGAATTTCAACGATTCGCCGCAAGGGAGCGCAGTTAACCGCTATTTCAGTCGCTGTTTATGCCTCGTTCCTTTTTTATATTTTCAGCTAACTCTGCAGTTCGCCTTTGTCCATTATTTCGATGGAAAAACCACTTCCTTGCTCTCTCGCTCTGGCTCCCTTGCTCTTTTATACCGCTCTCTCTCGCTCGCCAGGCGTTGCGTGGGCGAACGTAGGGGAGAGAGCAAACGAAACGAAGAGAGAGACGAACGCAGTTTGGAGTTTTATGCACTGGAGTTGTAAATATGTGTGTGTGTTCCTGTGTGACTGCTACCCCCACACACTTGCACTGCCTCTTTCCCTCTCTTTCGCTCTCGCACACCCAGTACCAAGTACTCCGAACTCCAACTCCAGTTACAAATTCAATTCCAATTCGAATGATTCCCAATCAAATTTGAATTTGCCTTCCAATTGCAGTTGCTTTCGTGTCCTTTGTGAAATAAGAAACCTCTTGCTTATTTATTGCAGCCGCACGGCGTCGATTGCATTTGCATTTGCATTTCCACTTCTACCTCCACTTCCACATCCACTTGCATTGATAGCCAGAACCAGCATCCCACTATGGTGCAGTTCAGCCTGCCCGCGGCCATCGGTGATTCACACACAATTCAAACTGGGCACTTGGGCAGTGCATTCGCTTGCGACACAGAGTGGCGGAGAACAGAAAAAAAAATTCGAATCGGAACAAAACAAACGGATGTTACTATCGGGTAACTACGAAAAGTCCGTGCGTAGATTTTCACGAAAACGCCCCGCCCGCGCCGCACTGAAGTTGTGTGTTAGTGGTGCGACAACGCACCGATGCAGCGACTCGATTCAGTTCGATAATTATCGATTTTCCGATTCCGATATTCTGCGCGAATCAACCGTTTAGCGAGCACACCAACCAACTTAGCGAGCACACCAACCAACTTAGCGAGTACACCCACCAATGCGTTAGCTCGTTAGCCAGGGCTGGCAGCGAAGTAGAGCGAAATACTGAACGGCATCTGTGTTTTCCGGTATTTGCAGCCTCCATCCCTGGTAGCCGGCGCCTTGTCAAAAGCGAAGCAAACTTGCCGCGTTTTATAGCCAATAACTGCGAAACTGCCAAAACAGTGAGAACTGCGAGAGTTGCGAAACCAAGTAAAATGGATGGTGAGTGGGCCCACTGCCGGGCCACTGGGCAGCCGTGCGCAGGGCGCCAATACACTAATGCCCGCCCATTCCGTCCCGTCCACAGGTGTGACCGAGGACATGTGGACGCCGTACAAGCATCTGTATAGCGTTTTCCAGGCGACTGTGTCCAATCCCTGTGCCGTCACCTCGGACCTGGAGCTGTGCCTCAAGAAGTACAAGCACAGCTTCACCAACTTCCTGCGCAATCCGGTGGGTAGAGACAAAGTAGCGATCTCCGATTGCAAAAATCTGTAACTAATCATTGAAATGGTAATGCATGTCGGCAGGCGAAGAGCGAGAAGAGCCGCAACTACCTGCGGAATGCCCTGAACGAGGGCGTCCCGCTGCCGGGACAATCGCGAAAGATAAAGCTCTCACAGGATCTGGTGGACGAGGCGCTCATACTGTCCGACATGTTCGACCTGGACGAGGTGTTCGCCGTGGAGCTGCTATGCACCGCACAGCGGCAGCAGATGCATCATCCCGGCCTGCCACGAGGCCTTGTGGCGGTGCTGCTCTACTACGATGGACGGAAGGCGATCAGCTGCGCCCTGCGCGACATGTTCCTGATGGTTAGCGGCGTCTCCTGGAGCACCGAGCTGCCCAGGGAGGTAAGTGTCGAGATCGGAATCAGAGTGTGGCTGTCGCAATTCACTGACCCGGCTTCTCTCTCCGCACGCAGGTCACCTGTCTGGTCACAAACTATGCCCAGAGCCTCGTCGATGACTCGAACATACTGGGACGCCTGCTGGAGCTGCTCGAGGAGATGGACGTCGACAAGGAGGTGAGTGTTCCTGTATAGATACCGTCAAGCTTTGTCCCTTAAACTGAATTGCTTTCCGCTCGAATACTTATTCATTTGTTATTAATTGTTCTCAGTGCATTATGCTGACCAAAAACCGCGCGTTTGGCTCCAAGAAGCACCAGAACCAGGTGATCGGCCTGTACGAGGACATTCAACAGGCACTGGCCATGGCCCTGTTCCACTGGTCAGCCCAGCGCGGCCTGCCGCGACCCATTGCCATCCGGCTGCTGCAGCACCTGGCCAACCGGAAAACCAACGACGCGGACGGCAACATCGACGACGTGACCCTAATCATGCTGATGGCTCTGCTGTATGCGTACGATACCTCCGTGCTGCTGATCACCGAGCACACCAATCCGCACACAGCCCGCCTGCCGATCCTCAGCGATCCGGAGTTCGCCAAGTGCTTCCTGGAGGCGCTGTACGCGCAAAGCAGCTGGGAAACACCACGCTTGGACGCCATCATAACGTACAGCTTCGGACTCACGCTGGCCAGTCTGCGGCATGCACCTGGGCAGCTACAGGCCGCCGCCCTCTCGACCATCAACCGCGATGAGATCCTCATCGACGAGGCACTGGGAGCGCAGGTATTCGTATTCTTCTACCGGCTGCTCCTCGAGAAGGATCTGGTCTATAAGTGAGTAGTGCAACGCAGGTGCCTATTTCCAACGTGGAAGCTAATCATCTATGTCTATATCTATCCGGCAGAACGGAGTTCATCTACCGCCGAGTCCATCTGCTCATCACGGACTTCATCGACTTCATGAACGCCAAGGTGTCGGAGCTACGCGGCCGAGCGGACGAGTCGGCACGCACGATCATCAGCTTCCTGAACGAGGGTCTGGAGCCGCCGCCCAACCTGGACTCCAACTTTGAGCTGCTCATGCTGTGCGTGGCCAAGCTGTACGGCGATCCGCGGGTCACCATCAGGCTGTGCAACGAGTACTGGGGCCCCAGCGATCCCACCGGCTCCACGGCGTTCAAGAACACCTCGCGCTCGGTGTCCCTGTTCAAGTTCATCAGCCTGGCCAGCGAGCTGCTGCCACAGACGCTGTTTAAATCCTACCTCAAGATGATTTCTGGACTCACACGCACCGAGTTCTCGGCACGCTGCGCCTTCAACATGCTTAAGCTGCCCCAGGCGACCTCCGGCAGCTATGCTGTCTGCTGGGATCACTTTTTCACGTCACTGGGCAACTACTACAAGTAAGTGCAGCTTAATCTGGAATTTAAGTGCTATCTCTAGTGCGCTCATGTTGGTATTTCCAGCTCGATGCGGAACGACTTCAACACCAACATCAGTACGGGCGGCGAGACCATTTACCGCAGCCGATCGACGCCAAGGGTCATCACGCAGCGGGAGGCGGAGCACCTGGTGGCCGTGATGGGCATTATACAGGCCGTTGCCGAGCACGACGAGATCTCGCGCATCATGATCTGTGAGCAGGCCAACTGGCAGACGCCGCAGGTGCTCCTGGGCCTGGTGGCGTGCGCCACGCCGCTGCCGCTCAAGGCTGAGATTCTGCACACGCTGGCTGCCCTGGCCAAATCCAAGGAGACGGCGCGCGTCATCTGGTTCCACCTGGAGGACTCGCAGATAATACCCACCTTGCCCGTGGCCAGCAGCTATGGCCAGTGCAGCTTGTCGGAGGAGATCGAACAAATCGAGAGCCGTTCGGAGCAGTATAACCTGACGCGAGGCGTCCTGCAGCTGCTCTACACACTGATGACCACCAACATGCCGAAGAGTTTGGGCGTGGGGCCACGGAAGCCCGGCTACGATGGCTACCTCAAGATCGTGATGAATTCGGTGCTGCTCAAGTTTTACAATCGAGCGTACAAGGATCCCGCCGAGAAGTGGCAGGTTGGCGCCCAGTGCCTGAAGCTGCTCTACTATCTGCTGGCCACCTACCGGCCGAACGCAATGGAATTCCTTGAGACGCGCGACGAGCATCCCTACCCTGGTTTCCACATCATGATGCAGCTGCAGGTGAAGTCCGATATGCTGCATCTGCTGCTGCGCATCGTGGAGGAGGTGCGTGAGCGGCTGGACGACTACAACCGCTTTCACGGCAAGGAGCTACTCGAGGAGTGCTCCCTGTACGCACTGCTGCTCCTCGAAGCCGCGCTGGCGAAGCAGAACGCCTTCTTCGAGGCCCACTCGGCGGCCAACTGCCCCATCATGCTGTCCGGCCTAAATCGCATGCTCCTGGACCTGAATCCACGCACCCGCAAGCCGGATCACGTGCTGAACATCGTCAAGTTCGTGACCTACAACAGCTGGCTGCCGCGCCACGCGCTGGCAGCCGTCAAGATCCTGAGTGCGGTCACCCAGCTGCCGAATGTCTCTAACCAGATCCTCAGCATGTACGCCCAGGGCAGCAATGAGAAGCTCGAGATCCGGCAGGGCTTCGTCGAGTGCCTGGAAATGGAGGTGGGCATGGCCCAGCGCAGAGACGAGCTGTTGGACAAGCTGGCCCTCAACAATCACGTTCCGTATTTGGGCTTCAGCGATGACATGGCCAAGGAGCGGGAGCGGAACGGGGATCGCGACGATCAGACTTTGGAATTGCAACTGGAGCTGGAGGCGGAGGAGGCCGCTCTGGAGAGCAAGCCGGCCAGCATCGAGCTGCAACTGAAGGATGCCATTGTCCAGCTGTTCGAGATAAATCTCAGCCAGCAGATGCCGAACTTTGTGTACTTCCTGCTCGGCGTGGACGTGCTACGCGACTTTATGGCCAACGGGCGGCAGCACCTGGGCATCGAGATGCACTGCTCGTGCGTGAACTCCATAGTGCTGTTGCTGGAAAAGTACCTGGATGTGAGTCTATCGCGTTTGGCCATTACCGCCGTCATTGCGTCCATCAACTAACCAATCTCTGATTTTGCAGCAACAGCGGCACAGCGAGAAGTACTGCGAGCACACGGCTAGCATCGTGGAGCGCATTTACCATCTGTTTCACGGACTATGCGCCAATCGTCGCACCACGGAGACGATACTGCGCTACTTTCGACTGACATGCAACGACTTCCTGCTGCGACACCTCCACTCGCTGCCCTTCCGGCAGCATCGCGAGGATCACGTGCTGCACGCCATGAGCCACCTGCTCAACTGCGTTTCCATCGACGTCAAACTGGCGGCCACACATGGACAGACGACGCGCTACAACCAGCTGTGCGACATTCTGCTAATGGGAAACGGAACGGAGGCACAGCGCTCATTCCACGGTCTGCCAATGGAGATGGGCCAGAACCTGATAAACCAGTCGGCGCCGTTCCTCACCATGGATCTGCTGCCGGGCGGAGGATCGATAAATGCCGTCGGCTCCGGGGCGAGCTCGACACCTGTCGGAGCACCAAGTACTGGGGCCAAAGCCCTGAAGCCACCGCTGCTGCAGGAGACATCGCAGGGGCTGCACGCCACCCGGCTGCTAGATTGCCTCGTCCTGGAGTTGGACACGCTGAGCCAGCCGCAGCTGGAGTTCTTCGACACGCATCTCACCACCCAACTGCTGCGCGACTGCGAGGCATCCGCAGAAGCTGGCGCCAGTTCCAGCGCCAACTTGATCAACGTGCGCAAACTGTACGACATTCTTAACGGCGAACTGCGAATGGTGCAGAGCACCATTGCCAGCGGCCAGCGGAAGGCCATCTCCAAGGAAATCATGATACTGCTCAAGCACGCCGTCAACATGAACCGGGTGCGGGCACAGCGCTGCGCCACGCTGGCCTTCATGGGAGCATGGGGTCAACTGGTGCAGGTGCTCTTCAGCAGCATGCCCGAGGCCGTGCTGCCGGTGGCGCTGCGCCGCCAACACATTATTGACATCGTCGAGAAGGTGCTCATCAAGGTGCAGCCCATTCAGCCCATCATCGAGATCTCCATCCAGGTGAGCGAGACGGTGCTGCTGCTCCTGGCCAATCTGCGCTACTGCTGCTACCAGGTAGAGGATCAGAGCTTCGAGGATCAGGCCGCCGACGAGTCGCTCACCAATGGCAACGGCATCGATTCCCAGGCCGCCAAACTGAGTCTGGCCCAGAGGACCATCGGCAATGGTTCGGATGGAGGATGCGGAGCCGGGCGGGAAATCGGTGCCGGTGGCAACAGCAGCAATCTGCGATTCATCCTCAAGAACCTCGTCGAGTGGATCATGATCAGCGAGGTCAAGTCGCAGAAGCTGCGCATCAATCTGTACAGTGCCCTGCTGAATTGCCTGCGGATTGCGAATCGACTGCGCACCGACGAACAGCTGGAGTATCAGGAGACGTAAGTGCATTCTCTTTGTCGATTCGCCCAAGCAGCATCCATTTGTAGCATCCACCATTTCGTTCCAGGCTCATTTCGCGCCAGGAGAGTGCCCGCATAAGCAGCATGGAGCTGCGGCGCGACGACCGCCAGCGGCTGAAGGCCATGGCGGCGGAAGTGATTGGCACCTTCGGCGAGAAGCTGATCGACACCATCTGCCACGACGCGGTGACCGGGCACGATGTGTGCCGCATGCTGGCGCTGGCCTGCCTGGACATGATTTCCGAGCTGCACGCGGTGAGCACGCTGTGCGACTTTGTGGCGTCGCGGGGCTACCTCAAGCACATACTGGACAGCCTGGGCAAGTCCAGTGAGGCGCTGTCCGGGATTCTGCAGCCCGTGCCGGACCACCTGAGGCCGCTCTACGTGTACGAGTCGCGCATGGCCTTCCTCACGCGCATGGCAAAGAGCAATGTGGGCGCCCGACTCCTCCTCGCCGAACGGGCGCTGGGCGTGCTCTCGAATATGCGGGTCTACGACCTGCAGCCCGACCTGAAGGCCAGCGAGCTAAAGCGGAACGAGCCGCAGGCCTTCCTGCCGGCCATCGATGAGCGCTTCCGGGCGATCCTCCTGCCGGCACTGGCCCTCTGCGATGCCATTGTGAACACGCTGGGATCGTGCAACAACTCTGCCGCCCTGCAGGTGCTCAACTTCCTGTTCGCCCACATCGACATGGTGGAGGCCATGTTGCGCACAGCCACGCCATTCATGGACCTGGGCCACCTGCAGCAGCTGGCGGTCATCAGCAATCTGTTTGCCCGCACCACCACGCACGAGGTGACCGCGCTGGAGAACAGCCTCGACTTGGAGAACGATCTAGAGCTGCGCAATCGTCTAGGCCGCCTGCAGCAGCTGATGATCGTCGTGTTTGGGCGCTTCTGCGTAAGCGAGGCCACCATTCGGTGCATGCTGCAGCAGGACCAGGAGCAGACCGACCAGACTGAGGGCTCAAAGACGCTACGCGTCAAGTATTTCCTGGACATAGCCGCCAACGTGTCGCTCTACTGCCGCAATGTGGTCACCAGCCATGCGAAGGACAGCATTACTTCCAAGTATTTGCTGACCACCATGATCAACGATGTGACGCCCCTGTGAGTCATCATCCATCATTCCAATTGGCACACATTGCATAGCTAATAATCGAATATTTCCTCCTTTCTTGAAGCACTGGCAAAATGGACAGCAAGAAGCTGACGGCCATCATGCACACCATCCTCAACCAGCTGAAGGGCTCCATCGGCTACTACCTCTCGCAGAAGTCGATCGCCGACAATCTCCTCCAGCAACGCGCCTCCCTGCCCAACATCAGCTTTGGCCCCAACGGTCAGTACATTGATATTCGATTCGACCTTTCGATCTTTCGACTGATCATTCCCGTTTTGGGACCCATTTTTACCAACAGGCAAACAAAGCTATATGGACTTGAGCCAGCGGCACAACGAGAAGCGCAGCGAACTGATGCAGGCCGTCTTCATCGCCGAGCAGAACCTGTATCTGCTGTGGATCCATCTGGACTTCTATCTGCGCAACGCCATCGTCTACGCCAACGAAAATAGGAACGCCATCAATGAGAGCAACCTGGACAACGGCAACAACGTGTCCGTGCTGAACGCCTCCCAGGACGAGATCCTGCAGCTCAAGCAGCTGCTCATCTCCACCTTCAACGAGACCTTCTGCACGCAGCTAATCACGGCCAGCGAGGACTACACGGTCAAGTGCAAGGGCTTTAACGGCTCGCTGCTCCGCCGCATCAAGGCGCTCGTCCAGTTCGCCCCCATCACTGCCAATGGCGACAATTCCACCTTCGCCTCCTAGGCGCCGACCATCCGATATGTTTAGTCTTACGTTTCAATAAAAGCGGTTGATTTTCTTAAGCAAATCTGCGTAATCTTCATTAATCTATTGCAAATGCATTAGTTTGCGATCGAAAGGTTCTCCTCCTTGCCCACTGGCATTGTCTGTCTCCCTCTAATTCAGATTCCAGTGCTCGCTTAGGTCAAATATATAGCAATAGACTAGAATAGTGCTCGACTATCACACACCCTTTACGCAGCCAAATGGAGTTTGTATCTGCGCATGTAGAGTTCTTAAGTAAACTCGCTATAACCTCGAAATAGCTCGCTATAGCTCGAAATATAACACTATCAGATAGCCAATGGAAAAGCAAAGGAGCCGGACCTTGTGGTTTAACTATTTATGGAAACCCCCCGATAGAGATAGTTTCTCTAGTATCTCCGATAGTAAAAAGTAAAATACTTGGCTGACATGAAAACTTTTGTACATATATTAAAGGGGCGATTGTCAACTATTTGATACCTCGTTAAGAGGCGTTCTGGCACGCGAATATGCACGTGTACGTGCCTCCCACAGCCCGACCAAAACGTGGTTCCTCTCGCAGTAATGGTTGTTCTCCTGCTTATCGAACAGCTCCTTCGCGGCGGAGGAAGTGAAGGGCTCACTGATTATGTTTACCAGCCGCTGCACAACTTTGACATCATCAAGGGCCAGTTTGTCGATCATGGTGTCCAAGAAGTTCTGGGTCAAGGCGCTGGGCAAGATGAGTGGCGCCCGGGCACCTTGCTCCTGTTCAGCTGCACTCCTCAGCCCTGCGCCGCACACCAGCTGGACAGCCCGATGACGCACCCACTCCGCGTCGTCGTGCAGCAGGAGCAGCACCAGTCCAATAAAGCGTCCGACCAACTCAATGTCCACGTCCGTGATGCCCGCGGCCAGTTGATCTCGTAGGTGATTGCGAGCTAGCAAGTCGCACAGCTCCGCAGCCTGATGGCGAAGGTAGACCGGTTGGCCAGGATGGAGCAGGCGCTGCGCGTAGTTCAGCACGGGCAGCCAGTGCTTCCGCTCCAGGGTTTTGCTTTCTCCGATCAGGCGTCTCAGGCCGAGCAGCAAGCCCGCCTCCTGGTGGGTGGCGTGCTCCTCTGAGCAGCGCTGGACCAGCTGATGCAGGTCCAGTTCTGGATCTCGGAGCAGGGGTTGCAATGCCGCCAGGCGGCCGGCCAGTTGAAGGCTCCAACAGCGACTTCTTGAGCTCTTTATCATCTGCAGGACGCTCGAGCGAACAGCCGGAGACTCATACACTTCCTGGGCGACTTCCTCCCGCTGCTCCTGGCTAAGGGTCTCGAAATATCGGCGAATGTCGCCGGAAAAGTCAAAGTGCTCGATATCCGCCTCGCTGACCAGCGAGTGCTGCTTGCTTAGGGATCTCTGTAGCAGAATGTACAGCCACAGCTCCACCTTCAGCTCGTCCAGAGCCCAGATGGGTTCAGCCAGATCCTCGACAATGTGCAGCACTATTCCCTGAGAGATGCCGCGTAACCGGTGCAGGTGGAGGCCAAAGATCTGATAGAATCGCTTGGAGATGCCCTGCTGCTGGCAACGTCTTTGGACCTCCTTGTGGTCCAGCAAGTAAACGGCGCCAATCTGCTCCAGAAGCTGGTAGTCCAACAAACCGGGCTCCACGGCATCCTCCATGGCAGCCACCATCACTTCCACCAGCGCACTGAAGGCACACGCGTCGTGCTGGAGCAGCGGAGCTGCCAGAGCGGCGAGGGTGTGCAGCTGCATTCTGGTCAACGAAGGTCGCGTCCAGCGAACCAAGCGGTGCAGATGCAGCAGCAGAAGCAGTTGGCCGTGCAGAAGATTGATGTTCAGACTGAGCGCTGCCTCTTGCTTCTGAAAGGAGAGCTGCGCTGGAGAGGATTGCGAGTTGTAGCAGGATGTGAACTCACCTTTAGCCGTAGCTGCAGTGCCTTAAGCTCAATAACGATGCGCCTGATCTCGGCCAGCGCTTGTTCCTGGGTGACGAAGTTGGCCACCACCTGGGCAGCCATTTCACGGGTCAGCAAGTCGTGGGAATGGCAGATCCTAATCAGGAAGGGCACAAACTCGCTTAGCTGTGGGTACAATAATACATATAAATATGTGTAACGGGAAGGAGGCACCTAGGGATGTATCCAATGCACCTACATTTAGGGTTGACTCCGCGCCCTCCAGCGATGACGGATACAGCCGGCTAAGCATCAGCAGCATGGCCTCCAGCTGGACCGCCTGCCGCCGCTTGCCGCCTGCGTTGTCGCTGCCTGCGCCGCCGGAGTCCATCTGCTCCGACTCGCGCTGCAGGGCGGCGTGGAAATAGTCGAAGAGCTGCGGATAGCGCGTGAAAAAGATGCGTCCCGTCATTCGATTGCGCACATGCAGCTCACCGGTCTCCAGGCGGGCGCGTTCCACGCCAAAGACGCGAACGATCAGGGCGGCGAGCAGCAGGGTGGCGCTGTTGCGCTCCGCCCACTCCTCGGCGAGAAGCAGTCCGTCGAGGGCGCATTGGATGCCGCGGGCCATGAATTCGGTGACCAGCTCGGCCAGTTCGCTGCTGCGGAAGAGGGCACGCATGATGTTGAGCGCGTGGCTACGGGCGGTGATGCCGGCAGCTCCAGCAGTCCGGCGCTCGCACACCTCGAGCAAGCGGTGCATGCACCGATAGAGGGTGGCATGGGTGCCCAGCTTGAGCTCCGTGCAGACCAGCGCCTGCAGCATGAAGGGCATGCCCGCACTGCGGCGCGTGGCGCACAGACGGGCACCCCTGCCTGCCCACTCCTCCTGCCCGCTGACCATCGCCATGGCCTCGTTCACCCACTGGCCGGGCAGCTGATTGAGACGCACCGATTCGCTGTGCCAGAAGCGGCGGCACAGCATCGTAAATCCCACGTAGGCCTGCTCGAAGGCGCCGCGGTGCTTCGTCTCGGCCAGCAGTTGAAGGAAGTGCTCGCCGATTGCCTCCAGCTGCGCACAGCTGAGCAAAAAGTCGCCCTGCCGCTGCTGCTCCTCCTCCTCCAGCGGCGCCCGCTGGACAAGCTCGCCCAGGATCAGGCACACCTCTTTGCTGCTCCGCCAAGCGCACAACAGTATCATTTGGGGCGTCGTGCGCACCTGCTGCAGTTCCTCGCGGGTCAACTGGCGGTCGAGCACGTTGGTCAGCGGCTGATCCGTCTCCTGGTCGCAGGTTTCGGGCAGGTGGCCTTCGGGAGAAGCGCTGCTCACCACAGGCAGGACCACGCTGCTGACTGCCAGGCAGATGGTCACCAGCTCCTCTATGTACTGCCTCCAGTGCGGCTCTTTCGCCAGTTCCTTAAGCTTGAGTTGCTGAAGCAGATGGCGGCTGGCAAAAAGCAGGCCGTACAAAGGGTTCAGCTTGGCCGCCTCGCCCAGATCCAGCTGGGCGAGGCACAAGCCCTCCTTCAAGTGCTGCAGGCACCACTGCAGTGCCCTGAAGGTTAGCGGCGCGTGGATTGTGTCCGGCGTGGATTGTGCTGGCGTGGGCAGCTCGCTTTGCACTATGTTGGCTTTGCAATAGACCTGCAGCTGGAAGGCTCCGGTGGCGGAGTCCGATGGCCTCAGCGAGAGCAGCAGCTGGATCATCTCATCCGGTTTGAAGAGGGAGTGCGATTGAAACGTCTCCAGCAGCTGAGCGGCCAGCACTTTGTTGTGCTCGTAGCTGTCGCCCAAGCATGCCATCAGTGGCTTTGTGGGCAGCTCTATGCCCATCTCGCTGAACGTTATTCCCACCATCTCGGTTAGCTCCAGGCAATCGCGAAGCAAGCGCAGCGACAACCAGCGGCGTCCGTAGTTCGCCGAGGAAAACATATTCTCCGAGAGAATGCGGATGAGCCGTATTAGGAACTGGAATACCTCCTGCGACGCCGGCGTGCGGCTCTTGCGGTACTCGACCAGGCCGAAATGGACCCTCTTCAGGGCCTTCTGCAGCAGACCGTAGCCTAGCTGCCGCAGGTGGGCACTGGGATTGTTGGCGTTGTGCCGCACATACAGTTCAATGGCAACCATTTGATCGGCATTTAAAAGCTCGCTGGGACGGGGCGTCTCCACCAAGAATCGCAGCGCTAAGAGGCGCGTGTGGTCGTCCAGTCCGATGAGGGCCTGTTCCACCTCCTCTTTCATACTTCGCAACAGGATCTGACGCCTGGCGCTGAGTTGCCTCACGCCCAGAATCGCCGCCAGCTTGCAGCTAAGTGGTAGCCGGGTGTCCGGGAGGAGCAGTTGAGCCAGTCTCGTTGGCTCCAGCTGTACGGCCTGTGCGATCAGCTCTTCGATGACCGGTCGGCGCTTCTCTGGCAGGCGGATCGCCGCTAGTAGCTGACCGAACCACCTGCTCTGCCACTCGGCGAAGGGTTCCGTCTTGTGGGCCGATACCATCATGGCTAACGGGGGAACGAAGGAATAAGTAGAGGACTTCGAGGTGCATCCAATGAAGCATACTTGCCTTTGAACAGAGCATCCACACTGTCCTCGCAGCCCAGATGGCGCGGGAATATGACACCAAACAGCGAAGGACAGTTCTCGATGGACTGATTGACTCCAGCCACCGCGACCAGCTGCTCCAGAGCCATGCAACTGGCATTAAGGGATGCTTCACGGTCTACAAACTGGCGATAAACGACTTGGAAGAGCTCCTCCTGACCGACGGCCTGGGCGTGCTGCAACACCTGGTGCAGCAGGGCGCTGCTCATGTGGCGCACGGAATCCGTGTCATTGGAGATGTTCTGCAGGGCGAAGACCTGCAGCTCCGCCAGGATCTGTTCATATAGCACCTTCTGGTCTTCTGGAAGATGGGCGTGTATCTCGCCCAGCGATTTGGAGTAAATGAACAGGTGCTTGGAAAGGAAAACAAGCAGGTTGGTCACGGTGCTCTTCTGCTCGCCAACGGACACGATCGTCTTCAGAATGGCCAGCGCTTGTGCGGCGTTTTCCGCATAATCGGTGGGTCGCAGGACGAGCAGGGCGGCCGTCTGTGCGGGAACATCCTGCTCTGCCTGAGGCCTCGAGCAGTGTTCAACGTACTTCTGGAATGTTCCAGAAAATCGCGCCAAGTGACCGATCAGCAGGCCGGCAATGGAGCGTACGTCCCACGGAGTGTCCTCATGGCGAGCCACCTTTTGGGCCACCACATTCGCCGTGCCTGGAAAGCGCTGGTCCTCGGTCAAGTGCAACTGGTCGCTCCACTCGGCCAGCAGACTAACCAGGAACCGCAGGGCATTTTGTAAGTACAGGTAGAGCTCGTTGCGACGCGTTGGCGAGAGTTCCAGCGTGGGGTCACTGTCTTAAAGCAAGGTATTCGTGGAGTCAGCATTGTGCGCAGCTATTGTATACACATATTAGATTGACCCACCAAATGTCCGTCCAGTAGCGCTCCAGCGCGGTGGTTAGCAGCGGCGCGAAGAGATGCACCTGCTTGCCCAGCGCCTCCCTTCCAAAGGGGAAGTTCTGCAGACAGGCATTGGCGGACGCAAAAACATCGTTGGTGCGCTCGTGGCTTACAGGCGGAGTGATCACCGCAAGACTGCTGGCCATTTCGCTGAGCGACTGCTCCAGCGCCTGCAGCAGGATGTGCCTCGCGTGTCTGTGATGTGGCATCGCCTTCTGCTTGGCCAGCGCATTGTCCGAGAAGAGTCTAAATGGAAATGTTCATCGGATATAGGACATGTGGCTTGAGTCGCCGAGGGCTCACCGTACTTAGTCAGCTGGTTGCGCACGGCGTGCCTTAGCGGACTGGCCAGCAGGAGATCTGCCAGGAAGCGGGGCACCTTTTCGTGATCCTGCTGCTGGTCCCCGTAGAAGACATCCTTGACCACCTGCACCTGCTCCGCGCTGCTCTTGGCCGCCGCGAACTGCCGCACAAAGTCATGTGGCGCTAGAAAGACGATTGGTGCCTCAATATGCATGTACATAGCCCACTGGCGGTCACGTAGTGAACCAAACTCACCGGCAATCCACGTGTTAGGCAGTGGCACAAGGGCGTCGCGCAGCTCCGCAAACCTCTTGGGATGAGCACACAACTTCAAGGCGGCCACGCGCAGGTTCAGATCGTTCATGATTCGGTCAGGATTGCCGATAAATAGTAAATAGTAAGCGGTTAAAAAAGGCCACTTTAGTGTTGTCACTAGTGATGCCAATTTAGTCTTTTTCCGGACAGATCTGTCCTGTTTCTTACTGCTTCATCCGGAAAGAATGTCAAACAGCCCTAACCCGGAAATCTGTACTTTTTTAAGTTCTTCTATCCGGAAATCTGTCCTTTTTAGGCAATTTTAGAATTTTTAGAATTTTATTGGCATAATTCCACATTTTTTTGTTTGCCAACTATGTGGCATCTCTTTTAAGCAAAATGTTATTGATATTGTGTGTAATCGTATGAATATCGAACTCACTTTGTCAAATTGGCATCCCTCTTGAACAAATAACCGGGCAAATGTTATTCAAACAATTGTTTGAAATGTTATAATATTTATTTTAAAATATTTATTCATAAAAAATATTTAATATTTAATATTAATATTAATAATATTTAATAATATTAATACAATATAAAATTCTTGTTAAGAAATAGATTACCCTACACTGAAAGGGAAATATATTTTTGTTTATTCGTATACAAAGTGCTACTAAATTAATCTCAAGCTGTAATTAATTAAATAATAATATATTATTTTGTCATAATTATATTAGTGAGTGAAATAGTGAGGTCTTTAAAGTGAGTAGTAAAAATTGTCTTAAATAAAGCCGGAATAATGCTTAACTTACTGTTGAAACACATAGTTATTGCCGCTTTTAATATTTGTTTGGGAAACATATTTTCTTGTAGCCCTATAATTCCCAACTAGTTCTAGCGAGGACTGTATGGAATGTCTTCTAATTTTGAGTCGCAAAGTAGTTCTCTCTTACCGGTCGAGCAGTGAGTGTAGTGTATGTATGTACCGGTGTATGTACCGGTGTATGTACCGGTGTATGTAGGTATGTATGAATGTATGAATGTATGAATGTATGAATGTATGTATGTATGTATGTATGTATGTATGTATGTATGTATGTATGTATGTATGTACGTATGTACGTATGTATGTATGTATGTATGTACATATGTATGTATGTAGTGTATGTGTTACTTGCACAAAGTAGTAAAAATTGTCTTAATTAAAGCCTGAACTTAACTTACTGTTGGAACACATAGTTATTGCCGCTTTTAATATTTGCTTAGGAAACATATTTTCTTGTAGGCCGATAATTTCCAACTAGCTCTAGTGAAGACAGTAAGGCATGTCTTCTAATTTAGAGTCACAAAATATTTCAAAAAATCTCTTACCGGTTGAGCAGTGACGGGTCTAGTTGCCACCTTTCTTCACAAAGTGAACCTATGTTCCACTCTCCCACTTAGCGAGTACACGCTCCTCTGCCATCAAATACGTTGCGATGTACCCATATAATTGGGTCCAGCCAACTTTTCTTTTAGTGGAGTTCCACACCGCGACAAGAGTTGCCATTCGTTCACTTCGCCCAGTGCACACACCTCCACCACAACTTCAGCCGAATCTATCGATAGTATCGCATGGGAGGCGCTCCTAGTTCCATCTCTAATGTGCGTTGGGTTATTTATTTTTTTCTTGTGATTTGTTTATTGAGTGAGACCAATACGATGCGATTTTGATGCGCGAATAGAATGTATTTCGTGGCACGATGCTATCAATTTCATATGGAAAACACAATTGTTTCCCAATAGGAAAAGTTTGCATCCTGTTTTCACACGCCAAACGCTCGACGTGTGTGTGTGTATATATGTGTGGGGTGTAAGGTGCATTTGTGTGTGTGCGTGAGAGGGGGAGGATTCGTAAAAGTGTTTTTCTCGTTTTCCTGTAACTTATCCCAAACATGCATGTAACATCACTTGCAAAAGCCCAAAAAGCATCTATGAAAATTCGGAGAAATCCACTTTGCTTGGCTGTTGTGCTTGTGTGAGTGTGTTGTGTGTGCGAACGCGAAAGAGGGAGTGAGCAAGAGGCATTTCTTTTGTTGATACACCGTGAGTGCATGCGTATGTGTGTGCGCCTCTCAATTTGTGACGAAATGTGTATAAAATGTTTATGTTTATGTTTTTCTCCACCCCCGGCCACCCACACACACACACACACCCGCACACGCACACTTCTATGCAAATAGGCGCCGTACAAGTTCGGAGTAAAAAGCGATCGGCAAAAACAAGAAATCCCAACACAAAGTGGCACAGCTACCACAAATAAATAAAAACATAAATAAAAGTGCGCCCGCCCAAAAGTAGAAGAAATACAAACGGCATAGGAAACATCGCAAAACGCTATTTAAGGTCGGCAGATGGGCGGCCAACGGATTTACGTGCCCTCCGCTGGCCATTCTCTTCGTGCTTGCTGTTTTTGTTGTGGCTCCCGTTGCGCTTGCAGTTGTTGTTGCTGTTGCAGTAGCTGCAGCGGACCAACGGCCACAGCGCAGTGAGAGCGAGCGGGACGGCAAGCGAGCGCCACTAAAGGTGCGAGCGAGAGGTGAGTGGCTTTCTAACAATATGTGCTCCTTGCAAACAATTAAATAAATAAACACATTTTGCAACATTTTGTACCAACCCAATAAAGTGTGATAAAATGCAACTGGTTTTAGATTTCAAAATTAAATTTGCTTCATATAAATGAATAAGCAATAAAAACTTATAACTGGAATTCTGGAGAAATGCCGTTTTACTTCTAATTATTCTAATTGAAATACAGAAATTATAATATATCACTTTGCGTCGGATCGTAACCCAGTAAATTGTCATGACTAGTATAATTTCGTATCGAAAGCTTTTCAAACTTCTCAATTTTTGATAAAAGATTTATTCATTTCGATTATTAGATTATTTCGATTAAAGCACCCCTCAAACCTCCAAGAACAGCATATCATCTATAAGTTTAGTGAATAAATCAAAGTATAAGAATTCACTCTTTCATTATAATATAAGGACAGCAAGTGATCGGTTCTGTATATGCTACTCAACATATTCCATGCTCAGATGCGTTCTCTGGCACTTCGCCTCCATTTCCATTTCGTAGCTGGCGCTTTCATTGTTTGTCACGTGCGCCCACTTCAGCTGAATTAGAAGAAACCCCACTGCATGTATACAGAGCAGAAAGGGGGGCACAAACAAAAGTGAACGTGGAGGCACCCCTCGTTTCTTGGCCTCTTCTCGAAATACTTCATTAACCACCCCCGTCTATCGCTCCTCTTTCCCGCACAGCCCATTGAAATGGTCTCGAAGAAGCGCTCCAATGCTGCCGAGCGTGTCCAGCGTTCGACGGCGACTGCGGCAGCGGCGGCAGCAGCTGCCGCAGCAGCGACGGCGTCCACGACCCAGGGCAAGAAGCGGCCCGGGAAACAGACGAAGGCCTCCAGCGGCGGCGACGAGGCGGAGGACAAGAAGTCCGCCAGCAAGACAGATTCGGCGGCCAAGAAGCCGGCCAAGGATCCCACAGGATCGTCGGGATCGCTCACAGCCGCCACCGAGGGTGCTGGAAACGGAGGCGGAAAACCCACAACCTCCACCTCAACATCCTCCACTTCCTCGACATCCGCCGCGTCCGCGTCCGCGTCCTCATCCGCATCCAACAGCTTGAAACTGTCGCCGGAGGAGCGACACGAGGATGGCAAAGCGAGGGCCATAAACAAGATGCTAAAGAGCCTGGATATCAAGATCCACGGCTTCGACAACCTGCTGCCCAGCAGCGAGGAGCGGCTCAACGATGGCGTGCTGAAGTCCTCCATTTCGGAGAACGTCAAGACCAAGTCTCGCGCAGCGGCGGTCAAAGTGATATCCAGCCTGAATCCCGGCAAGATGCCGCCAGTGAAACGAGTGCGTCCCTCCCCGGAGCCAGTGAGGGAAAAAGTTGCGGAAAAGCCGGCAGACAAGGACAAACCCAAGGCAGAGCCGCAAATCGCACCACCTTCCGCTCCAGAGGAGTCCACCGCCTCTAAGGTTTCCAAGAAGACGGTGCAGCAGACCAAGAAGACCAAGGTGGAGCCATCATCCCCACAGGCGACAGCTGCAACGACAACTTCCGCTGCCACTTCAGCTCCCAGCTCCGCCACTTCCAAGCACACAACGGCAAAGAATCCTGGCAAGAAATCAGCCCATTCAGAGCAGCTGGCGAAAAAGGAGCTGTCCAAACCGGCCAAGATGGGCAAACCAAAAAAGGAAGCCACCTTGATGAAGAGCACTTCCCGTTTGCCGGACTCCAATACGGAATCCGTGCAAATGGAGCTGGAGGAGATTGTCAGTACGCCCACGGTGACGCCGACGCCTTCGGCCACGCCCACGGCGACACCGACACCCACAGCCACACCCACGCTTACGCCAACGCCAACGCCCACGGTCACACGCACAAGAACGCCCACGCCTACGCCCACTTCGACAGGCTCATCCACCGCCTTGGTGGCGGGGCAACCAGCTCCACCTCCGCCACCATCAGGGGGAGCACTCAAGCAGCGACCGAAGGTGAAGTACACCAAGACATCGGCGGGATCGAAGGGTCGAATGCAACAGGCGCTGAACCAGAAGGCACCGGCTGCCTCATGGAGCGGCGCCAAGGACATATATGACTTCAAGTCGGGATCGGAGGACGAGGAGCCGATCAAGATGGTGCTGCCGTCGCTCAAGGAGCTGCGCGAGTTCTCGGATGAGGATAACAAGCCACTAAAGCTGTTCGAGCGGCCGGCTGAGAACACAAAGATTCAGGGGGATGAGGAGGAGCAGCCACTGGTCAAGAAGGAGGAGAAGCCACCGGCCGAGAAGGAGGTGAAGGTGAAGTCCAAGGAGAAGGAAAAGGAAAAAGAAAAAGACGTAGATCCTTTGAGCAACGCACTACAGTCCGAACCAGCAGCCAAGCACACAACCGGCGCCACCTCCACCGCCGCCTCGTCGGGTAAAAAGCAAGCCAAGCGAAAGATAGCCACTCCAATGCCCTCCACTGCTGGACGCAAAAAGAAGGCGGCGGGCAAGGGAAAGGCCGCCGCAACGAAGGAGCCTCCGCCCAGCGGCAGCTCCGCAGAGAGCAGCTCCTCCGAGGACGAGCGAAAGCTGAGTGCCTACAGTGGGCCCAAGCGCCACCGGATGGCCTCGCTAAATGCGCTGGCCAAGGTGCAGTGCCTGTACGAGAACGAATCCCGGACGGCCCATGAGCTGGGCCTGTCCAAGGCGACGCAGCAGCCGCCACGCATCCGCACCCTGGACGGGAGTGACGACGACAACCACAAGGATTCACCGCGTCAAGGGGACACGGACAGGGACAAGGGATCCTTGAGTCCGCCGCACACATCGGCGGCTCCACCAGCAGCGCCGAGTGCTCCGCCCAAGGAAGCGGAGCCACGAAGGGAACTGCGTTACGTCCCCGGAGGCAGGGGAGTGGGCAAGCATTGGGAGTTCGATAGCGACAGCGAGACCGAGGAACTGCAGCTCCAGCAGCCCTTGCCGCCGGTCAAGAAGAAGAAGCTGCCGAAGAAGGCGCCGCCCAAGAAGGCCACGTCCAGCGAGACGGAAGCCAAGCGAAAGAAGAAGTCGGTCCAGATCGAAGAGAGCGACGAAGAGGAAGCCAAGGAGAAGGAAAAGGAGAAGCCCAAGCCACCCAAGCAGCTGCCCAAGAAGCGCAAAACAGCCTTCACCGAGGAGCTGATCGGGGACTACAAGGGCATCCTGGCCAGAAAGCGCATGGCCAGCCTGAATGCTAGCGCCATTGTGGCGGCCACCTACGAGGTGGAGCGCCACCTGGATAAGAATTTGGCCAGTGATTGCAGCAGTTTCGAGAGCTATGACGAGCTGGACACCATGCCTACCACCACCAGCAAGACGACGTCAGCCGCACCGATCAAAACCGAGCTGCTCCACATCAAAAAGGAGCCCAAAGAGTCCAAAGAATCCATGCGCGAGCGGGAACGCGAACGGCGGGAGCGGGATAACGAGCTGAAGGACTCGACCGTTGGCAAGATGTCCAGCCACTCGATCATCGAGGAGAGCAACGACTCCAAGTACTCGAAGGAGACCAAGGAAACCAACACGGACACCACCATTACCACTACTGGCTACCGCGACTCGGCGGCCAGCACCAAGGACGCCAAGGACTGCAGCCGGCCCACCTCCTCGTCGGTGGTCATTGTCCAGGACACGGACGTCACCATCACCGGCGTCTACGTGAACGCCAGCAACGGAGCCGCCCAGGAGGCCTACTGCAAGATGCAGTACCGCGTCCAGTCGAGCGTCACCGAGGAGCGCGTCCTGCGACCCGGCTCCGTGGAGCCTCCCAAGTCCTACACGCCGCTCAGCGCCCTCTCCAGCATGCTGCCGCCGGGAGCCAGTTCCGGACTCAGCGAAGGTAAGCCTAACATTCGCGACATACATTAAGTAATCTCTCAAGCAAGTGACCTTCAAAAACCTTAAGATGTTTTACAATTCCAAGTAGAACACCTTATCACATCATTTTATCAGTGTTTGTGCTTTCAAAACTCATGAGATACCTATATCTACATGCATACATATGTAGATCTATGATTTCATTCCTTTGTGTATCTGTGCCCACACCTAATGACCCGATTTCCCTGTGCTCCAACAGCCCACAGTTCGCCGCCGCTGCCTGTCCATGCGGCGCCGACGGGACCGCATGTCCTGCTGCCCGGCGAGCACCTCAGCGCTGGCATGTACCACGCCCCCGATCTCGGCCTGCACACGGAGCACGCCATTCCGGAGCACCACGGACCACCGCCGCCCTCGTACGCGGCTGCTGCAGCAGCGGCCGCAGCCGCCGCCGCCTACCACGCCCACCAATTGGCGCCGGGTGGCGGCGGAGTGCTACACATGCACCACCAGCACCAGTATGCCGCCCACGCGGCCCACGCACATCACTACCAGCAGGCGGCCGAATACCACGGCGGACCGCCCCCGCCGCCGCATCATTATGGCGGTCCGCCGCCCCAAGGCCACTATGGACCGCCGCCGGGCGCACCTGTTCCGGTGCCAGTGGCCGTGCCCAACACGGTCACCGTGCCGCCCGAGCGCTGCGACTTGGGCTCTCCGCCGCCGTCCTACCGCGCCAGCGCCTATCCGCCGCCCTCCAGCGTGGGCATGCCGCCGCCCACTTTGGGAGGCGGGTCGAGCGCCTTCTGCGCCCCCAGTCCGCTCCACCATCACCAGCACCAGCACCAGCACCAGCTCCAGCAGCCGGGCCCAGGAGTTGGACCACCGCATCACGATCCCAGTGGTAAGTGCTCCATGCTCAAAATCTACATATTTAC